GAGGGGGGAGCAGCTGTATGCATCTTTGGCGTTTGCATACAGCAAGTCCAGTGTCCTCTCCTCTCTGGTAGGACAGCTCACATACTGTGTGAATGTGGGCAATGTTGTTGCCATGGTGACATGGTTGAAGTCACCCGAGATAGCTATGAAGGCACTCGGGTGTTTAGTCTGCAGGCGGGCTATGGCGGAGTGAATGACATCACATGCCGACGTCGGGTTGGCAGAGGGGGGGATGTAAACAGTTACAATAATGGCATGTGAAAACTCCCTGGGCAAATAATACGGCCTGAGTCCAACAGCGAACAGTTCAATGTCCGGGCAACAGATACGTTCCTTAATGGAAATATGGTCAGGACTGCACCAGCGGTTATTTACTAGAACAGCAAGCCCCCCTCCTTTGCGCTTACCGCTCTCGGTGCAGTCCCGGTCGGCCCGAACAGTCTGAAAGCCGCTGATGGAGACGTTGGTGTCGGGAATGTCCTGGTGAAGCCATGTCTCAGTGAAGCACATAAGACTACATTCCCGGTACTCCTTCTGACTTTTGGCGACCGCTGTCAGCTCGTCCATCTTATTTGCCAGTGACCTCACGTTGCCCATGATGAGAGAGGGGAGACACGGCTTATATCTTCTCTTCTCCATAAGCCTCCGTTGTCTCAACCCTGCTTTTTTCCGCCGCTGTTTACTTCCTCCCCTGCATCCTCTGTGTGTTTTCCTCCACAGTTCAGCTGGTATCTCCGATGTTCCGGCCGCCAAGCCGGCCGGCCTCAGCGCAATCAGCTGATCTCTGGAGTAAACAATGCGGCCATGAAGTTGTTGCGCAATGGTGCCGGGTCCGAATGAAATAAGTAATTCCAGGGTGAGGAAAACGAGTACAACTCTCTCAATCAGCATGTTTTGAGAGGGCGCAGTTCCAAAATTACAATCACAAAAAGCCAGCACAAATACCGAACTTAATAAAGCAAAAAAGTAAGAAAACCGAGAAAACAAGCAGGAGCGACTGCAACAGGCTGCACGCGCGGGCGCATGCGCTCTATCTTTTTTTTTTTTTTTTTTAAGTGGTCATGCTTGGTCACATTGTGAGAAAAATGTCTAAAACACAGGATAAAAGTGTTGCTGCGGCAAAAATGTACTATACAGAGTTGTCTTTTAGGATTCTTTGACATGGAATTCATATAAGCCACAGTAATGGAACCAATCTTCCACTTGAACCAGCAAGACTTATCAAAATAAGCCAGGCTTTCTCTTTATCTGCCTCGATGGAATACCCCTCAGAGAATGGCCAAATGAAGAAATAAACAAAAACATGAACTGACACAGGAGCATGACAACACCAATACAGTAGTTTTTGGCTCCAGGAGCTGTCTTAAACCTACCTGTTTTACAGTGCTAGGATAGAGAAAAGGACAATTAAAATGATGTACCTTATATCAAAGCAGGCGCTCAGGAAGTATCAGTCTCACTGACTGAATGGAAATGATAAATGATTTACAGAAGACCTATAGTGCTATTTTTTTACATTGTTTTTGTAATATTGGGGTCCAGTGGAATACATTTATGTGCTTTAATGTTCAAAAAACACATTATTTTTCTTATACTTCTCATTTCTGCAGCACCTCTGTCTGAAACATTCTGTCTGGGCTTATGTCCAGCCTCCCCAGCAGCCCAGTCTGCTGTGATTGGTCAGCTCGCTCAGTCTGTTGTGATTGGTGCAAAGCTTAAAGTATGTATCGGAAACATCACGCCCCTTATCCAAACTGAATTTCACCTCGGGAGGCTGCATAAGCTGCTAAAAACACATTAACTATGCTTTTAAGTTCACTGATCTGTTGAAATCTAAGCAACAGGGAGAGACTCCAACTCAACCACCACTAAAAAGAATCATAGCTTTGATAAAATAGACTGTTTTCTTAACCTTCGGATGATATTTTTTCTTGTGGCGCAGTGGTGGAAGTGAAGCAGTGTGGATCAGTTTGGATAAATGAAAAATTAAAACAATTAACAGTTTATTTCGATTGGTATGATATTGCAAATGTAATAAAATTACCCCCAACACAGGTTACAGTCACACAGTCCATTTATATTTGCAAGTTTAATTGACAAAAACAGAAATAAAAGTTATATGGATACAATATTATATATATATATATATACAATGATCATGTTACAAATGAACACGTGTTACAAATGAGCTTTGGAGTTCCTTACAGACCAGAACTAGCATACATGACGTGAAAACTATGCTAACTGAAGAAGAACAGATACATGCAAACTACAGTGTGGGTTTTAGCTCCACAACATACAAACAAAAATTTATATTTGAAAAATATCCCTGGATCATAATTTTTACTTAGTTTGTGCCAAACTGGTTTTCCAGCTGCTGTTTCTTCAGAGTGGACGAATCCTGTTGATACTGACAACTGACATTTATGCAGCAAAAGAAAACACCTGTGGTACAATTGTAACACGTTACATTTAAGGTGACTTGTCCTTAGTGTCCCAATTACTTGAGCGTCTTGTCAAACTCTATGAGTTCTATTTATTACATTGAGTGAATCCATTTATTACAAACACTCATTTAATATATTTACACGAATCAATACATAAATGTTTTCTTCAGTGTGAGCAGCCTTTGTTCCATATGTTCATTTAAATGATTAAAGCACAGATTGAGCGGTTGTTTTTTGACTATGTGTGAACCTTCATCCTAGGCCCTGTTTCAGAAAGCGGGTTTAGTGAAAACTCTGAGTAAGTTAACCCTGAGATGAGGGAAACTCTGGGTTTTCCATCCAGTAAGAGAGGTAACTTAAACTCTGGGTTAGTTACTTTGGTAACTGACTTTGTAAACCTAATTTGCACACTGGCAGGTTTCCACCAGCAAACCCTGAGTTTCTCTCTGTCTCCTCCCTCTGGCAGAGCCAGACATGCTGTTTCATTTCCTCATTGATTCAGTCCGTTTCAAAGCGTGTATCGAAGCGCAGTAATTGGCAGAAGTTTACTGTCAGAATCAAAATCCTATTTGGATAATAGTTTGTTACTCAGGGCTATCTTAAGTTACTGCGTTTATACACAATTGCTTCTTCAAACAGTGGTTTTCAACCTCACAATAAAATATCACACAGCATCAAGTCAGCCTTAATCTCAATACACAGATATCTGCATATGTATTGCCGTCAGACAATAGAGGATGGGTTCCGAGACTGAGTCACTTCAGCTCAGAATCAAACCCCTGCATATCTGTCTTTTTGCGAGTAGAAGTTATTTTCTTTTTTTTTTCTTTTTTTTCTTTGGATCAATGTTTACAGTCCACACATACATGCATTAAAACCTCTATGTCCACTGGATTAAAATAGCGGCTCTGCCTTTCATTTACCTATTGCTATGGTGAATTGTAGTATCGGAGCTCCATTGATGATGGCTTTTTTTCATTCAGCACTCACAAACTTAACTCAGAGTGAACATACTGAGAGTTGACTAAACTGACTCTGATCAGCTGTTCTGGAACTGAAAGCACAAGTTTTCCATCTCAGTGTTCATCAACTCAGAGTTCAGGGTTAGATTCCGAGTTTGTTAAACATGCTTTCTCAAACAGGCCCCTAGTCACAGAACAAGCCAACTAACTGATGAAACAACTGAATGCAAAATAGCCAGCATTATTAAACTATTGGCAGAGCAGGGCTTGGTGCCAGAGGACTCATTTTAAAGCAAGCTCACACTCCATAAATGACTTAAACCACTAACGTTACTCTTTCTACAGCATGTGCACCTATGAGAATCTCAGTGCCCTTTGCACCAAGCTGGTTCCACATCACCAAGACATGCCATCTGCTAAATTTCACTTCACAAAACCATACTTATCACAATCAGTACATTTCAGGCTTTAGCTGTTAGCAGTGCTGTGTGCCATTGAGTGTACATTGGTCACATAATATTGATTTCTAAGCAAACTGTGTCTGATATTTTGATTATTTCTAATTTGCGGTCAACAGTCCCTATCTGTATTTTTAGTACTACACTACATGATTATCATCAGCACCAGACAGCTGGCAGCATGGCTAACCAAACCGCTAGACCTCTCTGTACAGGAAAACTACATCTCACAGATAAAATTTTGTTCTAGATCACAGTTCTCATCGTTCCAGGCGCCTGTTCCTGTTGCACGGTGCCAGAATTCCACGCAGTCTTGGTTCCTCCCGTCATAGCTATTAGGTTGGCCTTTATCCCAGAACCTGCAGGACAAGAGGACACATCCCAAACAAGCATGAATACTTTTCTACCCTTGGGTGAATAGAATCAATGTTCTGACAGGTTCTCAAGGCCCTGACACACCAATGCTGGGCCACAGGTGAGTGTACATGGCCCTCGTAGCTGCTGCGTGTCCCCGATCGTTGACGCTCATCAGTGCTAGTCGGCTCTATTTCCACAGATTGAGTAACAGTGATAGAATGATAGAGTGATCCAGTGAACCAGTGACGGAGCCAACTGGTGAATGAAATAATTCTGCTGGTGGTTCAGCTCAGCACACAAGAGGAGAAACAGACGTGAGGAAAGTAAACAAAGAGCTAAAGTCCAGAGGGAATGAGACCAAAACAAACTTGTAACATTAGGTCAGATTATTTTCTTATTTATATATATAGTCATTGAGCTCTTCAGCAGAAACATTTCCCAATGGTTTGTGTTATTGTTCACTGGCACACGGTGAATATGCTCTGTTCTTTCAACATTGGATTGTGTTGTTAATGTGCCAACTAGCTAACTAGTGTCAAGATGGTCTTCCGTTTCCCTTTTAGTATGACGATTGTAGACTGTAGTTATTTCCTCTCATGCAGGTGCAGAACATATGTGCTGGTTGGCCAGCAGCTGAAGAATTTGCGGTGTGGTTACGTGTAACTTTTTGGCGCAGACTAAGCAACGTGAGGCAGTGCAGCAGGGCTTTTGTTGCCACTAGTTTAATAAAGACAGTTTGATGTGTCTGGGCCTTAAGAGATATGAGTTCAGTTTCTCACGCTGTGGTCAGTGTTGTCCCATCTACCCATTTCCACTGCCCTTCTATTCCTTCATCAGTCAGTCCAATCCAGACTTCTTTGTCAGTTGAATACAAGCCGTTGATGAATAGCTGTGAGGGAAGAGATATAAAATATAAAGTCATCACAGAGATACACACATTTATTGTTGGGGTTTAGTGGAACAAATATCTTAAAGCTGCACTAATCACTATTTTTATGAAGGAAATTATCACTGTAGTTCAAAACATGCTGGTAAACAAAGTGAAGATATCTCCCTCAGGAGTTGGTGAGACCAAAAAACAGAGCTAAAAAAGAGTGAGTATTGGACCTACATGGTTTGCTGTGTATAAATTGTTCCCAGACATATACCATATAAGCTTATAAGGTTATGTCAATGTTGTGCTTACAACTTCTTCCACAAATCCCCAAAACCAATAAGCTTAAAAAATCAATTCATGCAGCTTTAGTGTTAGTTCCAGTAGTGTGCCTTAAGTTTTTTTTTCTCCATCAGTTTAAAGGGTAAATAAAACTACTTCTATTGTTTAAAATATGTTGATCCACTACCAGTTGGCTGGACGGCACCTGTTGTGACTGTATGATAGGTAATCAGGCAGTGTCAGTTCATAGCACAGTCAGATGGCACCTGTCGCAGCGGTAGGTGTCAGTTTGAAATGCTGGCAGTAACGATGTAATATAAGGAGCAGTGAAGTCCCTTTAGGGCAGGTGGGAGGGGTGATGGATGGGTCCAGCCAACCTCAGACTTTCACCTGGGAGCCCAGTGTTCGCTTCACATACGAGTGAAGAGCCAAACCATGGTATTTATTTCTGAACCTAACTACATGCTTTTGGTGACATCCCAGCGTTGGTTGCAGGTTCCTGGAATGTCAACAGCAGACACAGCCAGATACCTGGCACAGTATATGTAGACGTTAAAGTCCACTGACAAAGCAGTGATGTGTGATAACTTGGGATGAGAACATGTTGTTATTCCATGTGAAAATATCAATTAGTGCAGCTTTAATTAAGTAAAATGCCCCCAAGAAGCTAATTCATTGTGCTTTCATGACCATTTCTATGGTGACACTTGCACATACATTCATGCAGATATAGGCAAATGCACGCAGATAAACCAACCATTTCATCTTGGCTTTTTATGATCGCCAGGTCTGCACCATTGCTTTGACAGTAGCTCCTGCCCTGACTCCAGCTTTTCTTGCTAACAGAAGTGAAGTAGCAGCTCTGCTCAAACCTCTTCCAGCCGGTGGGGCACTTCCTAGCTGAAAATGCAAAATATTTTTTGATCAATAAGTTTACAAGCATTGAGTTGTTTTTAAGTAGTGGTTTTCTAAGGGAAAAGACATTTGGAGTTTGCATTTGTTTATCATGAAATGGCATAACTACCAGATCTCTCAGCTTTTTCCAGCATCATTTTGACAAGAAAGCCAAATGCATTTTGCAATATGAATAATGATGAATATGTACCTTTTTTTCAGCTTACCTGGAACCAGTCCCTTCAGTCTCTCAACCTCCGCCTTCAGCTGATCTCTCTCAGTAGTCAGGTTGTAATTGTTCACCTTCAGCAGGTCTCTATCCACAGTTGCATTTTTGCAATCGCTTTCAATCTCTTCTTTTTCCTGAACCAAGGATGCATACGTAGCCCGCAACTTATCTGTCTCCTTTACAAGTAGGTCATAAGTGGCCTGCAGAGTTTCTTTTGATATTGTCAGGTTTTGGTGACTGCTAGCAAGCTTGTCTTTCTCGCTGGTGGAGAAGTTGTATCTGTCCTGCAAATGCTCGACACGCTTTATCAAATCATTGTAACTCAGCTGCAGTTGGTCTTTTGATCTGGTTACATTATTGAATTTGTTCTGTAAATTGTCCCTCTCTTTGGTCACCGTCTCAAAACTGGCCTGTACCTCATTTTTGCGCTTTAGCACTAAATCGTATTGTTTTTGTAATGAGGCTTTGGCTGTCGACAAGACAGTGAAACTACTCTGTAACTGGTCTTTACTGGCTTTTAGCTGTTCTTTCTCTTTGGTGATAGCAGCGTTACTGGCCTGCAACTGACTTTGGCTAGATTTCAGTTGTTGCTGTTCTTGGGTCAGTATATTGTTGTTGGTCTGTAATTGGTCTCGTCTTTTAGATAAGTAATCGTTTGTTTTCTGTAACTGATTGCGGGAGGTCTCAAGCTCTTTTTTAAGCTTTTTTTCTGTCTTCAGATCCTCCTGTAGTTTCTCTTTCTCATTAGTCATGGCTTTAAGGTTGTTCTGATGGTCTTGTCCGACTTTCTGGTCTGTGGCAGATGAGATATATCACAGTATGACATCAGTGATATCAGGCAACTCTCTCTAATGTGCATATTTGAGAGAAAAAGAAAAGAGGTTGACTCACAGTGGACACTCTGACCTATGACCACGGCCAACAGGAGCACACACAGCAGCCCAAGACCAACAGTAGCAGCTCTGAAGGGGCTGTTCCTCAGTGCATATACTGGATAACAACAAGAGTAGAAACAGAAATTTAAAACGTAAAAAGTGTTCTGAGGAACTTGTGGCTCATTGGCTCTATCCGTATTACAAAATTGAGTGAAGCTGCTAAATATTATACAAAACATTAATTTCAAGCAAAAGTGCTGACTAATTATTTATTTTAGAAAAACACAATTTATTATTATTTTGAAAACAGCATATTCCATATACCAACATAAATCACATGTATAATGCTTTTATGTATAATAAACCAGTGGACATATCAACCCTATAAAAGTGACGGCTGTCGTTTTTAAATTTGGGTAGGGTGACATGCATTAAATCTAAATAGATTTATATTTAAATGATAAATTTAAAGTCCAATTGAGAAAATGGATATGGGTTCAAAAACGTCCTGAGAGTCAAATCTGAAAAATCCTCTTAACAATTTGAAAATCCTGGGTGTCAGTAGCGTAGTGGATTGTGCGCTCCATGTACAGAGGCGATGCCTCACTGCAGCGATTGCGAGTCTGACTCCGGCTTGCAACCCTTTGCTGCATGTCATCCCCCCACTCTCTCTCTCACCCTATTTCACACACTGTCCTGTTCATTAAAAGCAAAATGCCCTACAAAATAATCTTTAAACAATTTGAAAATCCTAAATTGCTATGATCAGTCCTGCTCAGTGATTTCCAATATTGCCCACATATAGGATATGTAATATACTATATACCACAACATAGACATTATGGCAAATTCACTGGTGGTTGACAGTTTTCTGCATTATCTCATGGTGTATATTGGCATGTACAAGTAGCTTCAGCTTAGGATTGCTTCTTTTGTCTGTGTCCTTTTCCACCTTATTCACTATGTCCTTCTAAAATGTCCCGTTTCAATAGTAATAGGATTGGATTCAAGCACACCGTAAACCCCAATCCATCTGTGACACAAAATTTTAATGTAAAGTCTACTCAAATGCCCTGTACCTTTTAACTTGCACTGTGTACAGTTGTAGCTTTTGCCATTTTCATTGTACTGGTACTGGTTCATTGTACACTTCATTTGTGTTTTGATGAAACCTGGTACTAAATTATCAGTAATCGGCTGTAGACCGTAGTATTGATAAACGCCAATGGTATCGATTCTTTTGTGCTGGCGTTGATCTCCTCCACATACACACATCCACACACACGCCTACACGACATGGTAACCGGTGAACAGCCGAGCAGCCGCGGTGAAAACAAAGTGAGGATTACTCAAAAATTACTTGAGTTGACGGCAGCTACACTCGTTACTGTAAGTGACATTAAACCTTGGAGAGTAAGAAGCTAACAATATCAATACATGTGTTCAGCAGCATGAACATGTAAACATGTAGACAGCTATATTCAATATGCTCCTTCCACAGTCTCTCATCCACCGTCACTAATGTTATGTCTTACACAAGGGCACAGCCCGCTAGTTCGGCTGATAGCCAATTGTTACTAATAAGCTCAAATGACAGCTGTCTGTATGTAGACTAACTTAGTTTGACACTTATCATAAAATACTTTTAAACTTAGCTGCTGGCTGAGACAACCCCAACTCTCTACACCAGCATGTAACTAGCCAAGCTAGGGGAGCCAAATACAGGGCACACTCCGAATCATCTACGTCATCACGCTAATTTGAATAAATTTTCTGGAACTTTGAGGTGCAGTGGAAATGCAAACCATACAGATTACTGGGAATTCTTTTACCCAGGTAAATAAATTCCTGGTAATAAAAGTTCCTGGAAATGTTGGTGGAAAAGGGGCTTATGTCTATTTTTGTGTATGGACATTGGGGTAGGGCTGAGCAATATGGCTTCAAAATAATATTGTGTATATTGTGATATTTTGATATACCCTCCAAAGAAATGTAGACAACTTAAAATATTATAGAAATTAATAAATGAGCTAAAGTTACAATAAAGTTAAATAAAGTAGCTACTGTCATAATATATCTAAACAGAGTACTGTTGTAATAAACTTTAATGAAGAATTGTTCTAATTAATTAAATCAAAGCAAAACACTGGTGCTTTTATATTGAAGCACCTGGATTCAGGCACAAAGTGTTGTTGTTTTTGCTGTGAACTTGAAGCTTCCGGTCAACAGTGAAATGTTAGCAGTTAGCACAAAGTTAAACTGTTGCTGCTGCACCTTAAAATGGGAGGATTTATTCACTGTGAGCTGGAAAACAATCTAACAGCTTGCCAGTTGTTATATTAATAGTATTTGCAAGTTGCACTGGTGCTCCATGGTCACAAAATGTGACTAAATAGTCACAGTCTAGAGCCCTGCTGGTGCAAAAACACTCGCTCCCTCTGCTGATGCTATTGTAAATCTCATTAAATTAAACTGTTACTATGGCACCGTTAAATGTGATGACATGTAAACATGTAGACAACGATATTCAATATGCTCTGTCCACAGTCTCTCATCCACCATCACTAACATTATGTCTTACACAAGGACACAGCACGCTAGTTCAGCTGATAGCCAATTGTTACTAATAAGTTAAATGAGCTGTCTGTATGTAGACTAACTTAGTTTGACACTTATCTTAAAATACTTTTAAACTTAGCTGCTGGCTGAGACAAACAACCCCTACTCCCTCTACCACCCTCTATCATCTACGTCATCAGCCTGATTTGAATACATTTTGCGGAACTCTGGGGTGCAGTGGAAACGCAAACCAAACAGATTACCAGGAATTCTTTTACCCAGGTAAATACTTTCCTGGTAATAAAAGTTCCTGGAAATGTTGGTGGAAAAAGGGCTTTTGTGAGTCTTCGTGTGTGTGTGTGTGCGTGTGTGTGTGTGTGTGTATGTGTCTGTCTGTCTGTCTGTCTGTCTGTCAGAGGGAGAGAGCAAGAAAACCGAAACACTGAAGCAAGTCTCTTGTCTGAACTAAACCAGTAAAGTTGTGGGCTATGAAACTAAATCAGTGAACAAAATATTATTACTTTCTGTGGAGCTGAGGGGAACTTTATATTGTCTCGTGTTTTATATTGTTTATGTTGTCACATCTCTCAGCCCTATTTGGAAAGAAGTTATTATTTTATTACCTGAATACCGGAGCTTGCTGCCATCGTCTAAAAGTTGCTTATAGCCAACTTTACTGTTGTCTATGTCCATGTTGGTCATTGTAGAGGCCTGGTACTCGACAGACATCTTTACATCTGCTTCATGAGCTGGATCCCTACCAGCAAAAAAAATAAAATAAAAAAAGAAAGAAAAAGTAAAAGTAGTATTAGCCTCTGAAAGAGCTGCTTCTTTTCCTTTTTTCCAATTATGTTACAAGAAAATTTGTCCCCTTTCATTTGTTTCCCTGTCAATAAGTTTCCATCTCAGCATAAAAAAGATACTGCAGAACTTACCTTAACTAGGATTAAAAGTGTTTTTGTGTGTAAGACAGGATAATGATCAGCATGAATGTAAGCTATAAACAAAGTAAGACTTACCTCTGCTTGTAAAGATGACAACACGGTCAAAGTAATATATAAATCTCTTAAAGTAAAACCTAATCTATTTACTTTCTGTAACTTCAATCCACAAAAGAAGTATGCAAATGCTTGGATATGTACCACACACTTTACATCCTTGTGTGGTTTTCTTTATACTTGTGGCCGGAGGGGCAGGAATTGGGGGTTGGTCAGCAGGCGGAGCTAGAGCCTCCTGTCTCTCTAAATGCAAATGAATTAGTCTGAGAAATCGGATTAAGGTTGAACCTAACAGACTAGGTTGATAATAAACTCAGGACACTTGGCCATCCAAAATCAATCTCAACACCAGTGGTGCATCATAAACACAATTTAAATCAGACACGGTGAACTCATAAGTGAACTCAGCTTGGGCTTCTGGTTGAAACAAACAACTGCCACCTCCAAAGTCACAAGGCATGAAGAGCACTGCTGGAGATTGTGGAAAATATAGCACTTACAGTTTGTGTGATCTACATAGAAAAACAGCATCTATTTGACAATTGCACAACATGAACCACTTGTTGCACTGAACGGAAGAACAGATTTCACAAAATGCAAAGATGCTGAATGTGCAGTTTTCTTGTCAGCATTCTGTGAAACAGTCTGTGTCAGGCCGATTACTCAAGTCTTGTACCAACATGTGTTTTCAGCAAAACATTGTGCACTGGGCTAGTAAATTCATTTTATGTAGACTCTATTTAACCTTATTGTGATCATAATGAAAACAACATGAAGACTTTTATAACATCTAATGGTTAGAGTGGCCATTTGGTATCATTTTCATATTTTTGAATAATGAAATAAATCAATACATAAAACTTTTGATGCTTCCACCCAGGCCAGCCATCAGGGGGGATCAAAGGGTACAGATGACCCCGGCCCAAGGCCAAGGGGGGGCCAAGAATTGGCTCAAGTACAACAATTTACTTTCTGATTTATATCACTGACAATATACATTATATGTATTTACATACCATAACATACCATACCAGTTTATTTATAAAGCACATTTAAAACAACAGAGCTGAGACCAAAGTGCTTTACAAGTAAAAGAAAATACAGGTAACAACTCACAATCACAACTCATAAATAAAAAACATACACAGCGTCACATGAAGAACACCAATCACTCAGGCTGTGCTTGAAAAAGCCAAAGAATAAAAATGTGTCTTGAGGCGTAATTTAAACACCTGCAGAGTGGGGGCTTGCCTAACATGCAGAGGCATATCGTTCCAAAACTTTGGAGCTGCCACTGCAATAAATAAATATATTTTTATCATTGAAACAAATTTAGATATGCCATCTGATTCTCCCAACCCTGCGGGTGTTGTGAAATGGTTCAGTCCATCTGACAGAGGGAGTCAGGTGTGTGATGTGCAGAAATCACAACGGTGTTAAAAGTAAACATGTGAGGCAGACTGAAGACTGACTAAGTCAGAATGCATTACCAAAAATCAGGGACCACTAAAAGAAAAGCCAGGGTACAGAGAGAACAAGACACTTAAAGGAACAGAGAGGCAATAGACTTTTTTTTTTTTTTTTTTTTTTAAAAGTGAAGAAACAGCAGGTATGACAGGAAGAGCTGATGCTGAGAGGTGAGGCAGACTAATGTTGGCAAATAAAACCTGCTGCATCTGATTCAGTTTTAAAGCTGCTATATTTGAACAAATCTCTCTGTGAAATCAGTCAGAATAGATGAGGAGGATTATCAAAGAAAAATAGCCAAAATTTCAAAATTGACCAGTGCATGAAAAAACTATGTTTTCACCTGGGGTGTTTCACTGTGAATTAATAAAAGTAATTAGAGAAAAATAAGAAATTTCCCCAGCAAATTCAATAAATATGCGCAGACCATGGAATTGTTTTTGCTCACATGAAAATATTTTTGAATCACTATCACAATATTTCAGGCAATGTTTTAATATGGAAATTACATAGTGCCAAAATAGTTATGGGGTACATCTATGCTTTTACTCCTGATTTAACAGTCCAGGGAAAACAGTACTGTCAGAAACATAATGTGGGCCTGGAGCCTGCACGTTAAGGTGTACGTTATAAAGTATGAAAAGCAGGGAATAAAAATTTATATTCCCTCCAGATTTTCTCATATGTATGCTAATGGTCATTTGTGTATTTTCATAAGGACTTGTGTAAGATAGTGATGTACTGTACCGTAAAAGACAGAAACCATTGATTGACCCAGCTGCTGAGTAAGTAAACTGAAGAGAAACTAAGAGGAAGTGAGGAATCCGAACAGAGCTGAGATTAACTGCAACACCCTTCAGTTATCTCTGAGGAGCAGTTGTGTTTGTTGATTTAGCTGATATGTGAAAAAAGAGCCTCAGACAATAAAACGAACACACAGAGATGACCACTCTGCAGTGTGCAGAAAGCTTTGTTGTCCACCCAGAGATAAATATTTTGTGCGTCATTTAAATGTAACACTGACAACAGCTTAAAACAGAAAGCCTGCAGGGCCTTATAAATATGAGCATTAGCCCCTTTTCCACCAACATTTCCAGGAACTTTATTACCAGGAATTTATTTACCTGGGTAAAAGAATTCCTGGTAATTTGTGTGGTTTGCGTTTCAACCGCACCTCAAAGTTCCAGAAAATTTATTCAAATTAGCGTGATGACGTAGATGATTCGGAGTGTGCCCTGTATTTGGCTCCCCCAGCTTGGCTGGTTACATGCTGGTGTAGAGAGTTGGGGCTGTTTGTCTCAGCCAGCAGCTAAGTTTAAAAGTATTTTAAGATAAGTGTCAAACTAAGTTAGTCTACATACAGACAGCTGTCATTTGAGCTTATTAGTAACAACTGGCTATCAGCCGAACTAGCGTGCTGTGCCCTTGTGTAAGACATAACATTAGTGACGGTGGATGAGAGACTGTGGAAGGAGCATATTGAATATTGCTGTCTACATGTTTACATGTTCATGCTTGCTGAACACATGTATTGATAAAGTACTGGCTTCTTACCCACTAAGGGTTAATGTCACTTACAGTTACGAGTGTAGCTGCCGTCAACTCGAGTCATTGTCGAGTTATCTTCACTTTGTTTCCACCGCGGCTGCTCAGCTGTTCACCGGTTACCGTGTCGCGTCAGTGTATGTATGGATGTGTGTAGAGGAGATCAACGCCAGCACAAAAGAACCAATAGCGTTAGTGCTTACCTATACTACGGTCTTTAATAATTTAGCTCTGAGGCTAAGTTAGTACCGGGTTTTGGTACCCATGCTTAATCAAAACACAAACGAAGTGGAGCTTGTAGAAATGAAATAAAGTTTGCAGTGGCTGCCCGTGCCATGAAGTGCGGAACACTGCGAGTGTGTGCTCCACCAATCAGTGTTCTTCAGCAAACAGCCCTGCCCCTCAAGAATCCCGGGTAATCTGAAAAGTTCCATCGAGGTCTTTTTTTCCATCTCATCTTGGGCTAAAGACTCAAAAAAATTAACAGAAGGCCTTTGTTGCTGCACAAACATGAGGTGGCACAGGGGCCTAATGAAAGACCAAGCTACAACCTCTGGGGTTGAAAAATGAAGCCAACATGAAAGTGCCGAAAACTGCAGTTCTTTGAATGTCCACTTGAGGCCAGCTCCAAGAGTGAATCAATCCCCATAGACCCCCATGTTAAAATGCCCAACTTTATAGCAGAAATAAACATGTTTACCACTGTTCAGTCTCTATTGCTTATTTCAACATTCACGCCAACTGTACTGGGGCTGAATTTCTATATAACTCACCTGTTTACATTTTAGACTTAAAGTTACGGTTAGTTAGAGATAAGCTGTCTGCCGACATTGTCCTCGGCTTCTCAGTCAGATCCATCCCTTGCTCCTCCACAGTACCAGCCTCCTACCCAAATATGGTCACTACTGGCTCCAAAAAACCAAGATGGTGACAGCTGAAATGCTGTACTGGTGGTTTCAAAACAGGAGTCCACAAACCAATGTGACATCACCATCATTACATCCATTATTTGTACAGTCTATGTGATACACGCTATTGAGTTGCTTTATGAAAAATCAGTTATTTTTGGAGCTTGGTCAGAATATCTCAGCCTCTGCTGCTTTGTTTTCCTACTTTAAAAAAAACAAAACTGTCTGCTGTAAATCCCCCAATTTTATAAGTATTGAGATAAACATCTGTTTTGCAAGAGAGACTTGAGTGCAGCAGATAAAAAAAACAACAACCATAACCACACATAGCAAATGCACATACAGTACAAGAGATTATTAGACACAGCATTATATACATTGCTGAATCCCCTCCCTTAATACATAGATACATTTATAAAGCATATTTATTGAAACATATATGCATATTGTGTCATATTAAGGCATTTTAATGGGATAAAAATATAGTTAAAATTCAAAACATACTGAAATAAAACACTACACACACACACACACACTGGACTTCTGTCAGAATGTAATAAACCCTGATTCACGTAAATTTAGAACCAACTGGGTAGGGTGAAAGTTGAGCTGCCACCACCTTTAACCGGTTTGGTCAGGTGTTAGTGACCCAAAAAAACACACACAGCAGCTTCTTCATACACAGGGTCTAGAATGGGGCAAACTTTAACTCATCCCCCTCCAACAAATCCACCCCACCAGCTAACCAGCAGCCCTCAACCCCACAGCACACCAAGTCATTTCAAATAAGGAGGCAGACCTTGGCTTTCAAACAAGTGGGCCCACGCATGAGACAACACAGCAGGTAAGCACTCAAAACCCCATGCATTAAATCACACCATTTCACTTTATGTGGACACACTAAGTTTCAGGGCCGGACTGGGACAAAAATTCAGGCCAGGAGTCATATATCCACCCAGGCCACCCAATCCACACATTACATGCTCACACACGAGCACGTACACACGGACACACATATGGGCTAAGTAATCACCAAAGCTCATTATTCCAGACTGACTGTCACACAACAACTCTATTAAACACAACTGTAGCAGCAACCCTACTCATAGTCCTCCAGTCCAGTGCTTTTCTCTTCCCTACCCTCACCAAATGTGCCTCTCAATAATATGAACGGATATTATGCTGAACTAAACAACATGATTGTATTATTTTGTCTGTAAGTTTATGACATTTGGCCGCCTCCTCCTCAATGGCCCTTTTTTTTTATCTCTCTCCCGTTCAGCTCCACCTTTCCTCTTTTTGCAGTCCATTGTAACAGCACTGCTGAGCTGCAGAGCTCCTACTGCACAGTCTGCACACACAGGCACACGTACACACCCTCTGCTCTCTGCTCCACCTGACTCTCCACAACCAAGCTGCTTTCAGTTTACAGTCGCGCTGATTTGGGGGCGGGCACGGGCGGAAAGCAAAACAAACTAATCACGTCTTGAATCTACAAAAAAAAACCTTTTTGACCAATCGCTGTGACAAATGCTGACAAGCACCTATCATTTCTGACAGCGGGCGGGCTCTCTGCCAGCCGGCACAGCCACCTGCGCTGCAGAGCGCGCCTCAAAAAAAAACAAAAAAACAAAACAGACAGACAGGCCAGAGCAGACCACTTGCAGGCCAGGCCACCGGGCCTGCTGAGTTTCACTCTAAATGGGGCGATGTGATTAGACTGGGCGGAACTTGTTCCTCCTTGCCTACCAGCTAACCCCCTCCCAGCTCCTCCCCCTTTCCCATGAATCCCCTGCTTTGGTGGTTTGATTAAAATTCTTAAAAGCTACACTTAACAAAAGAAGACACAGACTAGGATAATAGGGGCACAGTACAAAACATATAACACTAATTTTAACATTTTAAATGTACAGTTCACTTAACTGGCCGGTTGGCCAAGACCCTGCCCCGGGGTCTAGGCTTGTGGCACTGGCCCACCCTGGGTCGTAAGCAGCAAGAGACCGAGGGGATTCGTCGGTCCAGCGCTGGAACGGTGGAATGGCTGACGGTGTGGCAGATGCTCTACTTAGAGCTGGGCAGTGGTAAGGCACTCCTATTTACCCGGTCCCTGTCTGTCAGCAGCCCTATCACAGGAACATCTCAATTTCAATTCAATCAATTTTATTTATAAAACCCAATATCACAAATCAAAATTTGCCTCACAGGGCTTTACAGCATACAACATCCCTCTGTCCTTAGGACCCTCACAGCTGATAAGGAAAAACTCCCCAAAAAACCTTTAACGGGGAAAAACAATGGTAGAAAGCTCAGGAAGAGCAACTGAGGAGGGATCCCTTTTCCAGGACGGACAGACGTGCAATAGATGTCGTACAGAACAGATCAGCATAATAAATTAACAGTAATCTGTATGACACAAGGAGACAGAAAGAGAGACAGAGACAGAGAGAGATGCAGGACAGATAGTAATGACAGTAGCTTACAACAACATTAATGAAAATAATAATATTATAATAATAATATTTACGGCTACTGTGGTACAATATGTTGAAAGTATATATTAATATCTGATAGTATACATATGTGACAATAATCATATGTATATAATAACAGTAAAAGCATGACTAATGATAACAGCAGCAGCAGGAGGCATCAGGCAGGACCACAGCAGCAGCACAACCACACATGTCACACTATCCAGGCACCGCTGTGATATAAGTTAACCTGCGAGACAGCGGAGCACAAAGGCTGCGGAGAAGAAGCCGAGTTAGTGACATCCAGAATGG